TTTTTTCAGTCAGGGTCTCACTCTGTTGCCCAGGCTGGAGTGCCGTGGCACGATCACAGCTCACTGCAGCCTCAACCTCCTGGGCTCAGGCAACCCTTCCGCCTCAGCCTCTTAAGTAGCTGGAACTATAGGTGCACACCACCATGCCTGGCCAAGTTTTTGGATTTTCTTAGAGACCAGGTCTTGCAATGTTGCCCAGGCTCACCCTTGTTTTTAAACTCAGAGGTAGTAACTTGGTCCCTCCTCGGACTGGACACTCAGTCTGAGCCCAGACCAGAGGGTCCTGGCTGCTGCCTGAGGCTCCCCGTCTAGCCTACTTCTCCAAGCTGCCCTCTTGTCTCTCTCAGCAGCCAAGCGTGGACTCCACGGGAAGCTGTCCTCTCCCTGCACGTTAGCTCCTCATGGGAAGGCAGCTTCTCCTTCGTGCTCTAACCAAGACTTTGCTGAAGGTTTGAGGAGGCAGTAAGGGAATCAGCATGCGGAAATGGAAAATGGAAAAACTGTCAGGGGTCGCTCCTTCCAGAGTCCTTGGACATCTTTCATCCCTGGTCCCTGGCTTGTTCCCTTTTTAGGACTCCCTCTCTAATAAATCCCAGAGCAGTCCCCGGACCTCCCAGAAGTCAAGTCAGCAGGCTTTCCAAACCATGTCTGAAGTCAGTTGTGCCCTTTGAACTAACTCCCCAGTGTTCTTTTTCTCCACACCCACAAAGCAGTGTCAAAGTTGGAGCTGTTTCTTTCTAAGAAGGCCACTTTCAAGGTTCTGCTCAAGACATGTGCTTGGTATGCCCTTGGATTTTCTCTTCTTTTTTATTTTTATTTTTTTTTCAGTTGGAGTTTCACTCCGTCACCCAGGATGGAGTGCAGTGGCACACTCACGACCACACCAGCATCAACTTGCTGGGCTCTGGCGATCCTTCCACCTCAGCCTTCTAAGAAGCTGGAACTGCTGGCATGCACTACCATGCCTGGCTAATTTTTTTTTTTTTTGTATTATTATTATTGTAGAGACAAAGGTTTACCAAGTTGCCCGGGCTGGTCTCGAACCCACGGACTCAGGCAATCCACTCACCTCGGCCTCCCAAAGTGCCAGGATTACAGGCTGAGCCACGGATCCCAGCCGGATTGTCTCCCCTTAATACATATTATTCTTTTAATTGTATTTAAAAAATCATTATACTGTAAAATTGACTTTTTTGAGTGAAACACTCAATGACTTTTAACATTTTTGGAATCAGAGAAAAACATAAACTATGTCTTGAAGAAAAGATTTACAGAAAGTCTCTCAAAGCCCTCTCAGATCCGTCCTCAGCCCCTCCTGCGACTTCTGTTTTCTTTCCTCTTCTTTCCCTTCCAGAGTCTAAGAACCACCCAGCAATAGTAGGTGCAGAAAAACTCCCCCTGGTGTGCTTCCAAAGTGGCTTTTAATATACAAATGTACACTGACCTGTCCTATCTTCCCACCTGAAATGACTGTTTCCCTGGTGGATTACAGTATACAAGTCAAAGCAGAGGAAAATTCAATGCCAAGTTTAGAATAGCAGAGAGATGTTCCCTCGATGCTTCCTGCCTGTGCACACAATGCTGGGTGACCAGACATCCCTGTAACCTCTTATTTTTTCATCATTTTACTACTGTTCTCTGAGGTCCACTTAGTCTCTCCTGCTCAGGTTGTGGTTCAGACAAGTTTGGCAGCAGCCAGCTAACAGCGAGATGAACATGCTAAATTGTTTTCCTCTAAAATAACTGATGGGATGGATGCCAAGGGAATAAGTTTGTTTCCCTGATCAAAGCTGGGGAGTCGGATGAGAAACTTGAATTCCCAGGGTCCTCTTAGCATGAAGAGCAATGCATTGGAAAGGCGTGTTTGTGGACAAGAGAAACAGTTGATTCAACTGTCCTTGATTTTAAAAAAAATCAAACAGAACATTTTATAGAAGGTACAATGTTTTCTATAAAGAACTAGCTGACACTTTAAATGTGAGGTTGGCCAATATCGTGTTTACGACAGTATTTTCTTTTTTTTCTCACTTTTTTTCTTTTAAGTCGGGGTTTCACTCGTTTGTTGCCCAGGTAGGAGTGCAGAGGCATTATCACTGCAGCCTCCACCTTTTGGGCTCAGGTGGTCCTTCCACCCCAGCCTCTTGAGTAGCTAGGACTACAGGCATGCACTACCCTGCCCAGCTAATTTTTCGATTTTTTTTTTTTTGATAGAGACGAGGTCTTGCTATGTGGCCCAGGCTGGTTATGATAGTATTTTCTTCTGGAATGTTTAGATAATAAACTTGGACAAATGAAATGGGGATAGCTATGTAGCTATATGTCTGTCATTTTGTGCCGAAGCAGGACATAAGGATTCTAAAGCACAAAATGTCAGTGGACACAATTTGTGTTGCCCAGAAAGAGCCACCTCCAAATATTCTCCACACCTGCACGGAATGAATTCCAGTTCCCTATGTGTGATGAGAGAGAAATCATGCATCTGATCTATATCATGGGCTTCTGAAAAGTTCCAGACAGACACCACCAGCCTGGAGTGAGAAATGTGGTTTTTTCAGTGACTAATGTTTAAAGGGTAACATTTTCTTAGTTTTATAAAACAGAATAAAGGTCTTTTGGGGGGGGGCTGGCTTTAAAGAAAATCTTGAAGAAGTCTCCTCTGTAGACATTCACTGCTGATAGAGGAAAAAAATGCCTGTAGTAGAAATATCTTTCCGCTTGATCACATAGTCTGTTAGAGATAGCCCCATTTCGACATGGTGCAGAGACAGGTTGCTTAAAGGGAGAAAGAAAAAGGTTCAGGGTCCACCAGGAAGGAGCTTACTGGCTCTGTGGCTACCTGAAATGCACATGCAAAATATTGAGTATTGGTACGTTTTATGAGAGATCATATAGCTTTAGTCAGATTCTCAGGTGAGTCCACTACCCAGAAAATTTTAGGGTGTCTGCCTCGTGTGATGGTAAACCCAAGACAAGTTAGAAAAACAAATATAAAAGACAGGATTGTTACTGGCTAATTAAATAAACAGAAGACGTTACATGCGGACCTTAACTAATAGTGAAATGGGAGAGAACTTTGCAAGCGTGAAAGGAAAGGGAGAATTCACAAAACATTTACTATTCAAAATCAGAATATTTCTTATCCCCAAAATTATAGGTAGAATGATCATAAATTACTAGTCTACTTAAAAAAGCTCTTATCAATCGGAAGAAAATCTCTATCCTCTCAAATGGAAAAACTAGGCAGAGGATTGGAACAGACAATTCACAGAACAAATACAGTTAATAGAAGTGGTATGTCAGAGCTGGCTGGTACTCGTTCATGATCATACGTTCCCAACTCCTCATTCAGTGATGTCACATTAATAGCTTGAAATTGGCCAGGGCAGGAGTTTTTACAGCAGAGAAATCAGCTATAAATCAGGCTCTTTTTTTTTTTTTTTTTTAAGATCTAGCTTATTAGCACACCACTGGTTAATAAAAAAGTAGTTCAAGTATAATCAAAAAAAAAAAAAAAAAAGAAGAAGAAGTCTGTACAAGATGGAATAGGCACATTTCACCCTATTTCTTCTGCTCATTACAATAAAAAAAAGTCTGGACAAAGTTCATAAAGCAACCGACAGAAGACTCTGAAAGTTGGAGGAAAGAAAGTAGACTGGCTAGGCACCTCCAGGAACTACCCAGTGGTAACTTCTTGGATGTTTTTCCTTTTATGTATCTTGGCCTGGACTCTGGAGAGGCTCTGAACCTGGAAATAGCTAATGACACAGACCCAAAAAATCCCCAAGGAAAAAGCCTCCGGTTTTGAGCAAAAAGTCTGGGAAAAGGGCCGTCCAGAACGACAGAAACATTTTACCATACCTGACCTTACTTCAACTCAACAACAGGGGGAAAAAAAAAAAAAAAAAAACCTCCTTCCCTCCCCCTCCTCACTGGGCACCATGGCCTGGAGATGGGCAGATCTCTATTTTCCACCACTTATTACAACAGCAACCCACATCCCTTCCAGACCGTGGGGAGAACTATGAGTGTTTTTCTCATAACCGTGGACTCCAGAAGGAAGTGGAACATTTTTCAAGTGCCTGAAGAAGAAAACAGTGACCCAAGATTCTATATCCAGCAAAAATATCCTTCAGGAACAAAGGTAAAATAGACATTCGCAGTCAAAGAAAGACGAAGCCTATTTGTCACCAGCAGATTTGCTTTAAGAGAGTAGCTAGAGGAAGTTTTTCAGACGAAAAGGAATAACAACAAAGGAACGATACCAACAGTGAAGAAAGAACAGAAAAAGTAAATACACGTGTAAATATAGAAGACCCTTCTTAAGTTTTAAAAATTATGTTTGGCCGAAAGCAAAAATTACACCTGCAGTGGCTCTCAAAGTACTTAAAAGTAATCTTTCAGACATCTGTGTTATGAAGGAAAGAGATAAAGGAAACTAAAAGGTGGCAAAGTTGTCATATTCTACCTGAAGTGATGAAATATTGACACAAGTAGACTCTGATAAATTATGCACGTATATTGTAATCCTTAGAGCAGTAGTTTTCAATCAGGAGAGGTTTTGCCTGTTTGAGTACATGTGGCATATGTTTGGAGACCTAATTACTTGTGTTATTGCCATCTAGTTGGTAGAGGCTAGAGAGCCTACTAAACATTCCACAATGCACAGGAAAAATCCCACAGAACAAAAGCGTTTTTCAGCACAAAAGGTCAAAATGCTACGATTGAGAAGCTGCCCTAGAGCAGTCATACAAAAAAACTAGACAAAAACATATATACTCAAAAACACTAGAGATCAATCTGCATGGACACTCAAGAAAGGTTCAACAAATCTACAGGAAAGCAGGAAAAAGAGAACAATGGAACAAAAATCAGAGGGAGCAAACAAAATGTTAACATAGTAGACTTAAATCCTAACATATCAATGATTGCATTAAATGTAAACGGTCCATTAAATGTAAAGGGTGCCAGTTAAAAGACAGTGATTAGCACTGCAAGCATACCTGGACCTGCCTAAGTGCAGGGTTGGCTGGCAGGGGTCTGGCAGGAACATTGGGTGCACGCAGGGCCTGATGGATTGAAGGGAGCACTCTTGGAGTTGACTGGGGCTGAGGGATGTCCAGGCTTTTGAGGGGTCTGCTGATGTCAACATTCTGACCCTGTGGCAATCTCCTGGGATTGTCCTGCATGGTCAAAGCAAAAAAGCCACGCTATCATGAGTATAAAAACATCACTGTTTCCTGGAGGTGGGGCAGAGTAAAAGGTAAAAGAAAGAAAACAAGAATATACATGAAAGGGAATCAATTATTTATTTAAGCTTCAAACCTCTAACAGAAGCACCACTCCCTCCTCCCACCAAATATGGAATAGAAGAACTGATGTTTGCCTGGATTTTTAAAAACTGGTATTTAATTAACAAATAGGCACAAGGCTCTTGAAAAATTACCACCTATAACGAGGCAGACCTAGATCTTAAGGAAATCACAAAGGAGGCATGAAAATAAGACACAGCTTAATATGTACAAGCCTCAGTGAGAATTGAGAATACTATCGGGGAAAGGAGACCTGGCTTCAGGAAGCCAGGGCTGAGTCTGGGGGCTTGGATCTGAGAGGCCTTCTCCCGCGTGGCACCCTTGTGCTTAGAAACAGAACAGGTGTGGCACGACCTTGTATTTCATGCCTGTTGTCCCTCACCCCACCTTTCCCCTTCCTTTCTTCCTTTCTCTCTTTTGAAAAAACAGCTTTATTGAGGTATAATTGTCATAATTTAAAATGCACCATTTGGTAAATTTTTGCCTATGCTTATACCCATGAAGCCATCACAACAAACAAATGAAAAAAATGAACGTATCCATCACTCCAAAGAGTTTCCTTGTCGTCTTCCCCCCCCACCTTGTCCCTCCTTCCACCCTGACAGCCATCCATCTGCTCTCAGTCACTAGGAATTGGTCTGCATTTCTTAGAGGATTGTATATAAATGGGATCATAGAGTCCGTACTCTTTGTTTGGCTTCTTTTACTCAGAATAATTATCTTGAGAATGATAAGTGTGCCCCAACGGTTCATTCCTTTTTGCTACCGAGTAGCATTCCATTGTGCATAGATACCATAGTTTGTGCATCTTTTACCTGCTGATGGGTATTTGGATCATGTCTGGTTTTTGGCTCTTAAAATAAAGCTGTGCTTTTGGTTCTTCCTCGTAAAGCTGGCTTGTTCATAGTTCCATGCTTGGGGACATAAGGAGGAAAAGCTGACCAAGAAATAGCAGCCTCCTCCTTGGGGTTCCACCCTCCACGTGTTTGGGGTTAAGGGAAACCAAACAGTTCATTGCCTGGTGGGTATGTGATCACGATTTTTTTTCCCCAGTCATTTTTCATTTTTTGACACCAGTTTTGTTCACTGTCATCAATTAATTGGGGTCTTTTGTTGGACAAGTCCGATATTTAAGCACTCTTGTGGTTACATAGTGGGAGACACTTAAATATTAGAACGATCCTAGAAATAAGTCACTGGGGTAGCAGGAAAGTTAGGAGACAGTAGCCACAAGGTATTTTGGGTTAAGGGTCCATTTCTCTGGACAAGGATCCTCGGCTCGGGGCCGGAGAAAAATGGGCCAAAGCGGAGGGCTCAGTGTAACTTGTAGAAATACTTTGGCAGCAATGGTGGGCCAGTGCGGCTCATCCAAAACCAGGTAGTGGCATCTGGAAACCATGGTGGGGGCCCATGGTCGGGAGGCTGCTTGGGCTGCAGACCCAGTGGTCTGCTGAAAATATCTGGGTGGCTGGAGAGATCGTGGCTCACGATATGGTGCTACACACCACGTGATGGCAAGGGATATTGATCACTCCAACAGAATCCAGGACAGCGTCCACAAGGGGCTTGTGGGGGCTCCCTCCAGATCTTGCTCATCACAGGGACCCTCACTCAGTCTCTGGGGAACAGAGGATGCAGACCCACTGTTTCAGAAGAGCACCCAGGATTCTTTTTTTTTCATTATAAAGATGTGGGGTACAATTCAGGGTTAGGTATACAAACGTTGATTATGCAGGTGCCCTTGTTGATGAGGTATGCCCCTCCCTCCCTAGCAATTTCCCTCAACTGCCAATCCCAGCCCCCTCCCCTGACAGTTTCCTACTACTGCCAATCCCTTTCTTATAGTATTATAATTGTTCAAGGTCCGCTTATGAGTGAGAACGTAGGGTACTCTGTTCTTTGTTTCTGTGATAGGTCACTGAGTACGATCGGCTCTAAATCCATCCAAGTTGCTGCAAAGTCCATATGTTTGTCCTTCTTTGTGGCTGCATAATAATCCATTGAGTATATGTACCACATTTAAAAAAAATCTAGTCCAGCTTCGAGAGCCCCCAGGATTCTATTTTTGCTCAATCTTGTCTTGAATACCTCATGTCTTCATGTATGCTCTAAGTTCTCATGCTTGTTCAAAACTTACCTTAGGTGGGTTGGAACCCGGCGGCTTCCTCATCAGACCTTTTCCGAGGTGGGTGAGGTGGGCATGACCAGCCTGGGAGCCACTGGATGGCCGGGAAGGGCGCACACACCTGCAACGCAATGCCACACATGCTAACCAAGGGTGTCTCCTCTCCCATTGACATGACTTTTTATATTTTGCTTCTAGGGACACTCAAAAAATAATTTACGTATTTTAACAACTCTGTGTGGTAAACATGCAAAGGAAAAATTGCCTCACATTTTTGTAAGATTAAAATATAAATATTGATTTTTTTTTCCCTCCCAAAGCCACTATTCTGCCAAATTAGTTCTCGCAGTCCAGGGACATGCAGTTTTATGACACCCAGGAGATGTTTTGTATGAAGTTGGAGTTTCAGCAATAATGTCCTTGAATATATTCAGATCAAAAATTTCCCCATCTGATGAAAATAGTTCAATGTCTCGCTGTCTTGTAAAAATCACTAATGTAAGGGTGGGAGAAAACACATCAGCAGAATTCCACAACACCCTACTTATTTATGTAACAAGCAGCATACAGTTTGAAGGGAAAGTCAGAGGCAGTTAGTCTGGCAGAAATTTAAACACACACACACACACACACACACACACACACACACACACACACACACACACACCAGGATTACCATTCAGAAAATCTGACCTTTTCTTTGCCAAGGCCAATAAAGTGAGAAGCACTTTGTGGTCCATTTTTTAAAAACCATTATTTCTTGAAAAGATGGTGAGGACCCCAACCCAGGGTACCTTAGCTTTTCCATGGTTGTTTTTTTATGCGTAAATAGCAGTCGTATCAAGGTCTTCCTTTTGAGATAAACCACAAATCCAGCAGCGAGAAGACACAAGATGGTCACCAGAATTCCTATAGTCAAACCTTGGTTATCTGAAACAAAACACATTTGACTCACGGAAAGAGGCAGTTATAATGAAATATGGGAGGTAACAAATGGTGGCATTTATGGCAAAGCAAACTCTGAAGGAACAAACAGAAATGCAGTGAGTAAATCCCTGAGGGATAGGCTCATAAATTAGTCTTACTTCAAAGGTTGGGTTTGAGGTTCGATCTACATTGCCATCATTCATTCCTGACAACTCTGGGCCTTGCTAAACAGGATCTGGTCTGGAGATGGGGCCACGGCCTGGACCACACAGGCTCCCCCAGGCATGACAACAGCGGGGAAGACCATGGTAGCCACAGAAGACAATATGGACCATCATGAAAACCTCTTCAGAATTAAAACGGTCCAGACCAAAATGGTTTCGGCCCTCCCCCCAGGCGTGGTATTTCTTTTAAAAAAAATTTATTTAAAGATATGGAGTATGATTCAGGATTAGGTAGATAAGTGGTCATTTTACAGGTAAATTTTGGGCCTCCCTTTGGTCCCCACGTTGCCTGCTTTGAGACCAGGTACCCTTATTGATATTACGTGCTCCACCTCCCCTGGCAGATTCCTGCTACTACCAATCCTTTTCTTAAAGTATTGTGGTAAATGTTCAGGATCTGCTTACGAGTGAGAACATAGGATACTCCGTTCTTTGTTTCTGTGATAGATCACTGAATGTTATAGACTCTAAATCCATCCACATTGCAATTTCTAAATTACTTTCTTCTCTCATTCTGTACCTTTGGGGCCTGCTTTATCTTAACAAAAATTTTAAAAAATACTCTACTGAAATTGCCAGGGGAGGAGAATCACACCTCATCAACAAGGGTACCCGCGTAACGAGCATTTGTGTACCTAACTCTGAATTGTACCCCACATTAAAAAAAAATACTCTATTGCTGGACATGTCAAATTAGTGAAAAAAGAAAAAGAAAACTCACAGCTTAAATAAAACACCATGGGTTGTGTTTTATGTTAGGGACTTCCAAAGACAGCCTTGGGGAGAAAAGATTTTTTTCCCGGGAGAATGCTGCTTATTTTCTCTATGAATGCGTCACGTTTTCCATGATTTGCTTCCCTTTTGTATAGAACACTTAGGAGACCCCTCAAGGGCAGGGAAAGGAAGGGAAAAATCAGACCATCAGGTTGGTTTCTGATAGCAGTTGTGATCAAAGGCTGTCTGGGGTAGACCCCAACATTGGGATTTAGAGGAGTTTATTTATGATCTCAGATGGACTAGACTCGTTTCATCTGGAATTTCCTGAGGACATGGATCTCGGCTTGTTTGTCTCTGTTTTCCCACCAGTAATGATCGGGGTGTGCTTCGCACCGTAGGGTCACAACAGCCCTCTCAGACCAGTGGTGGTGGCTGTGAAGGTGACTTCCGTCACCCTGGCTTCCCCACACTGCCTCTGACCTGGGCACCCGCTGGCAGCAGCTCCCACGCCAGGGAGGAATGGCTTCGTGCCCACTCTGCTTCTCAACTTGCTCCCCCACCGACAAGTCGTCTCAGGGATGTGTCTTAGATGAAATAAAACAGTCAACATACGACTGTCTTGATCCACTTGTCAGCGTGGCTGAAAAAGCATGGCTCCTGGCCAACATGCCATTCTTTTTGGACCCTTCGCAGTGATCCAGGGGGCTCTGGTGTCTCATAACCAAGCGAATGAAAAAGCGCGCAGCAAAAGTTTTGAACTATCTAGTTCCTTAAAATCAACCCATCCCTTTTAAAGTCATTGATTTATCCAACTGAACATTCCCTGGGCCCCCAAAGGGAACGTGTCGCACCCTCCTCACCGCCCCGCAGGGTGACTCAAGCCAGAGGCCCAGGTAGTATGGGACCCCACGGCCTCCCCATGTCCAGCACAAACATCCTGTCCTGGGACGCTGGCTTCCTGTGTCCCCTCTCATCAGACAACTCTCCACCTTCTGATCCCAGCCCGGTCCGTAGAGCAAAGCCTTTCTTGCCCTCTTCAGACCTCAACGGATACATCGAGTCCCCAGGAGCCTTCCTGATACCCCTCACCTGCTGTTCCTGAGTCCTTGGGGGTTGCTCGTCTTCCCGGACGCCTCCTCTCCCCACATTGTGGCCCTCATTGATCGGACCATATCGTGCTTGCTTAATGTCTCTCCAGGACCTGGGAGAGCAGCTGGCGTGTGGCAGCCACACGGGAAGTACTGGTTTTTTATTTTTTTGAGTTGGAGTCTCACTCTGTGGCCCAGACTGGAGGGCAGGGGCCGCTCCCGGCCACCGCAGCCTCCACCTGCCGGGCTCCGGCGATCCTTCCGCCTCAGCCTTCCGAGTAGCCGGAATTACAGGCGTGCGCTACCACGCCCGGCTGATTTTTTGATTTATTGTAGAGAAGAGGTCTCGCTGCCCAGGCGGGTCTCAAACCCGCGGGCTCAGGCCATCCACTCACCTTGGCCTCCCAAAGTGCTGGGATGACAGGCTGAGCCACCGAGCCCGGTCGGAAGTACTTGTTTAGTGAACCACTGAGCCAAGGCCAGGCCAGGGAGTAGCACGCCATGGTGACAGAGAGGTCCAGATCATGCTTGTCCACGGTCTGCCTCGATTTTATCTCTGTGTGTGTGTGTGTGTGTGTGTGTGTGTGTGTGTGTGTCAGGGAGGCTCAGGCAGAGGCAGGGCTTTGCAGTTCGTTTCCTACTTCCTGCGAGGCGGAGGTGGGCCTGAGTGGCAGCCTGGGGCTCTCTCGGGAGCAACGTGGATGAAGCCGTCCACATTTTAGCAGAGGCACGACCAGGAACTTGCTGCCTTTCTCTGCACTGCTTCTGCAGATGTCCCCGGGGGGTTGGACGCCCCTCCCGAGCCCTGTGTCCTGCCTGGCCCTCGCAGAAGGTGTTGTGTCTGTTGTCATGGAAACGGTGGCCAGGCCACAGAGTCAGTGCTGCCAGCCACAGCGGGGCCGCGGGGACGCATGACCTCCTGTGCGGCGGCGCTGGTTATGGCCTCAGTGTCACGGGGTGAGGGGCGGATGCCAAGAGGCAGCGCGAGCGTGCCCCGTCCGTTCCCACCTGCTCCTGGCTCCTGGCCTGGCTGCAGTCCCCGTCGGTGGTCGGCAGCCTCTGCCTTGGTTGTTTCACTTGGAAAGGGACAGCCTTCAGACGTGCCCCGAATTGCCCATCAAGAACTCAGAGAAAGCGCTGCGCTGGGAGACCACCACTAAATGACATCTAAGGAGGCATGAACTAAGGGTTCAAGAGCAGCTACTTGGAGGACAGACGGACTGGTTCTAAATCTTAGTCATACGACGTGGGGTAAGGTACCCATCTTCTCTGAGTGTCAGGTCCTTTACGTGTGCAAAAAGAATCCAGAGTTGGGCAACGCGTGTAACACCCTCACACCGGGGCTGCACACAACTGCGCAATACAGAGAGGCTGTTGCTGTCTTCAACGTGGACGAAGCACGTCTACATTTGAGCAGAAGCATGACCAGGAAATTGCTGCCTTTCTTTGCACGTTGATGAATGCCTCTTAAAACTCTTACTAGAGGCCGGGCTCGGTGGCTGTCACTCCTGCAGCCGCTGCACCTATGACCTTTATTAAGAGGTAGCTGTCTGCCAGGCTCGGTGGCTCAGCCTGTAATCCCGCCCCTTTGGGAGGTTGAGGTGAGTGGATGGCCTGAGCCCGCGGGTTCGAGACCCGCCTGGGC